GAACCGCACGCTTCGCGCGCAATCCAAAAGACCAGCTTCACACCACAACCCACCAGAGTCACACCAAGAAAGAATCCCTCACGGAAGAAACCAGGCGGCAGGCGCCAGTTGGCTATCTTCGATAGTTTAAAATACCGGTACATAATATTAATAAAATGGGCCGCGCAGCGCTGCGATGATTCATTCTGTGAAAGAAGCCTACGCAAGTACCTCGAATTTTTGCGTGAGGGCGTGAGAAGGTGTTAGAGTAAGTTGGTATGATGTGTGCGACCCACCTACAGTACACTCAATTCTCTTTTCTCCAGATATATGGCCTAATATACTACTAGTTTCCAGAATATACTGTTACTATCACACCATACCAACTTACTCTAACAGCGGGGCATGAGTGAGAGGGGAAACTACTGTAAGCACTGTACTCTTTGGTGAAAGGAATGAATCGTCAGTCAGACGTCAGACATGCACGTGAGAGGTGCGCCCAATTTTAATTAAAAGATCAACTGCAATAATGCCGGTTTTTCCTACTGCACGATACTCGCACATTATTACCGCGCGTATATAAAATAATGATGAGGAATCTCATCCTCGAGCCGTCTAAAAAAGACTAAAACCCAAAACGATGTCGACGAATTTGTTCAGATGTTCTCCACCATCCTATAAATACGAGCAAGAAGCAGACGAGATTTTCGGAATATGCTGGTGGCAACGATCAGCATTCATCCATTTATTCATTCATTTCGTTCCTCGATATTATACAAAAGGTATTGCAATCCATCATCGATTGAGTGATTGATTCCTCATCGCAAATTGACTGACTTCAGCCGGCTCACAGTCGTCGTCACCACGCCCACGCCCACGCCCACGCCCACATCAATGAATAAGGAGGTGCTGCCAGTGCCACCAGCGCCTCCCAACTTGGTGGACGCTTCCGAAAACGAATACGACAACTCTCAATCTAACAATGGTTCGTCGGGGCATAATCATTCAGGAAATCATTCCACTGTGGGCGATCTTTTGGAAGTTCCCAAGAAATCACCCACAATGAAACGAAACAACACGAGATTATCCTTGGCCGGTTCTTTTATGCAATCCTTCAACACTGAAGTTGCCTACGCTCATCTAAAATCCAAAGATGCTAGATCCTTCAAGAGCTATGTTGGCTTGGGAGCCACTGTCGTTCTAATGGTTTCGTATGCCATGGCTCGATTCTTGAGTCGAGACTATCACTCGGGATTTCATGGCTCGACTGCTTCTTTGCTCCTGTTTGGAGGCTACAATCTCATGAGAAAGAAATACCGAGTCCTTGTTTCGGATGCGGACCGAACAATCTTTGCTGTCAATGTCTTTGTCTCGACAGCAGTGGCTCTTTTGTTAATTTTTTTATTCGAGTCTTCGTGCATCCATTGTGCCTTTTTTGTGGTAGAGGATAGTTCCGAAGGAGTTGGTTTGATGGATGCGGCAGAATTTCTATTGGTTCAGGCGGATGGATTGGATCGCAAGACCTTGGCGTGTCAAACCTGTACTAGTGCCTGCTTCTCCTTCTTTTTCTATTTCATGGATTCGCCTCGGGTTACCTTTGTCGAAGACAATGATGCCCAACACAAGGTGTTGGAGGGAATGGATGAAATCACGGATATTGCCTCCCTGGCTCATTCGATTGATGAGCTCAATGATCAACAGAAAACGGCAGATACCAAGTCGTTTCAACGAAAGATTCTCTACGAAGTAGCACAACGAGGCCACTTGGACATTGGAGAAGCTTTCAGTTCCTATCTCTGTTCTCCATCCTCTCGGGTGGTGGGGGATACGTCGGTGGAATTCTTGGATCTAATCGAATCGCCACGCTTTTCCGGTGAATCCATCAATCTCACAGTTGCCGAGATGAGCAGTATCATGAAGGGGGATATATTGAAGGACATTGGGGTTGCTGCGTGTTTCATTCTTCGATTTGCACTCTTTGTACCAGACGATCCCGCCATTGATCACATCAAGATTGAGCCGGGAGCTCCTCCAATTATGAATGAGGACAAGATGAAAGTTCTAGATGCGACTGCGGATATTCCGGGTCTTGTCATTCCACAGATTGACCCAGAAGTCGACAAACAGGGAGTGGCCATCATGCTGACAAAGAGCCTCATGGATGCCTATGTCAAGTTCCCCTTCAACAACGAACCAATCTATTTCAATACGCGAGATGAATATTACTTCTTTTATCGATGGAACATGGTAAGATACTTATTTCCTTTTTTTTTTTGCAATCGCAACGAATATACCACTCTGACCCAGATTTTGCATGATGCGTAGGAACATTCCGTTCAAGACGAGTGGTACTTCCCCAACTGGCTCCTCAAGGGACGGACTCGCAACAAGATGATTGAGGTCATGACCAAAAGGAATACACTTGCCGCTGACATTTTAGCATTCGAACAGCCTACGACCGATGAGACTTTGAGTGATCGTGTATTTTATGGGACGGGGCAGAAATACTTGACGCCCATCAAGTTGCCAGGGATACATGACGACTATGAACTCATGTTCCCACACAACTCCAATACTTTTGTATCCAGGAATCATGAAAAGTTCTTTCGCTGCAAAAAGAAACCAAAACGAGAGGACCTTGAGAGAATGATCAAGTCATTTTACTTGGACAACAAAGAAGTTGTATCCAGCTTGTACGACTGGAAGGATCGAATCGTTGAGATTGATTTCGCTATTGTCGAATCCATCCCCAGCCGTGAATTATTCTATTCTCCTGGTGTGATTTTGTATTTGGATGTTGATAGCAAACTTCCGATCGGCATCTGGGAGTCTAGTCGAGAGCAAATGTTTCTACCAAAGGAAGGGAGGAATTGGGAACATGCCAAGTACTTTTACCGCGTTTGTGAACGTGCAGTTCTGGCATCGGACCATGTGATTCGATCTCACTTTGGCATGTCCCAAGCAGTGGCAACTGCTTCCTTGCAAACACTTCCCGAGAACCACGGTTTGCGGGCCTTGGTAAAGCCATTCGTACATGGGGTTCAACAGGTCAACTCGGCAGCCTATCACATGCTGGTTCGTGATCACTCTGTTTTGACCCATGCCTCTGGATTTACTTCCGAAGGCGTGATTGCTACGTTCTTGACACTGCAGCAAGGATTCAATTATTCAGAATCCATTCCAGAATACTTCAGCAAGACAAAGCTTGACAGTGTCTTGGAAGAAGAATTGCCTTTGCATAGCCAAGGATTGCGATTGTACAAGGTTCATAGGAAATGGGTTTCAAGATACATGAAGTTGTTGTATCCTACTGATGAAGAGCTGTTGGCGGATGAAGCAATTCATCGATTCTGGTCCCACCTCGATACTTATGGGCGGCATTTGGATCCTTGCGTGTGTTCCATGCCCTCTTCTATTGACTTTGAAGACGATACGCAGTGGCCAGGATTTGAGAGCTTCCGTACTTGTAAAGGGCTCTTGGACAGGAACGATTTCAAGACCGACAACAAATTCTCTCTTCGTCGAGAAGGTTGGTGCAAGCGAAGTGCTTATGTGAGACTCACGTCTCTTCGAGAATGGATTGAAAGCGACTGCGAACAATCGGACACATGCACCCATGTCAGCTACAACTTTTACCAAATGAGGGACAACATGGCCATGGGGCCACTCAAGAATCGTGATCAGTTGGTTGACTTCTTGGCTACCTTCATATGGGATGTTACGGCTGGCCACACCTTCAACAGTGACAATGTTTCCTACCTTGCCGATCCCGAATACAGCGGCGTACGGATGCGTGAATACGATGAAAATGGAAACCTCCCTCTTCGTACCGACATTGGCACCTATATTTTTGGCACCTCGATCGCTTCTCTGACGACTGTGAGATGCCCTCCATTAATGGCTGACTGGTCTCACATCTACCGTGACTACGTCTTTGACCAAAAGGATCTACCAGTTGACAGGAAAATGGAGCTATCCAAAAAGTTCAAAGAAATTCACATGGATTACAAACATGAATTGCTCAATTTGGCTAGTGTCTTCATCGATGAAGCTGCGTATCACGGGGGTAACAAGGTGTCGCATGTTCTGAATCCAATGACTCAGGCATCTTCAGTGAGTGTCTAATTCGATTCAATAGATTGGTAATCTCTATCTTCTTTTGCTTTTGTTCGATAGTGAAACTTCAGCGATCTCCATTCTCCAATACTGCCAAGAGGTACCACACGAGTAGTCTCGTTTGCTGCTGGAAGTTCACGATTTTGGAAGGAGGTCATGATTCTACTGGTTCGTCCTTGCCATTTTCGTCATCTTCCGAGGTACCCTTGCTGTCTTCGCCACGATTTTCATCTTCATCAGTCTCTTCCTCGTCGGTGCTTTCAGAGGTACTACCTGGAACCAGGCGACCATACGGTTGTGCAATGGACGTGTATCCCGTCTTCCCATGATCACTACAGAATCCGAAAAAGTGTTCCTCTTGAAATGTCCCAGTACCGATAGGATCTCGACCCCAAGATTCTTCCAAATCACTCCGTATTCGAAACCATTCATGATGTAGCTTGCGACATAATCGCAGCTCTATCGTATCAACGTCGTTCGGAAAACAGTTCCAAGGTTTTGGACAAAAGGTAAAGTGTGCCGAGACAATGTCTCCCATCGGCCGTGTCCGGCATTCTTCGCATTCTTGTTGGTTCGTTCGGCATTTATCTTGTGGATTGTCATTGGCCGAATTGTCTCGAGGATTGTCCATCATTTGATTGTAAATGCAGCGATTCAGTTCAATAGCTTCGTTCTTGTGCAAGACGTCATAATAATACGGAATGATTCCCTGAATGGTCATGAATCCATAAAAGGGGCCAACCAAACCTCCCCATCCACCTGGTTTTTGAATTCCCTTCTTAATGATGCTAAGAAATTCTTGGTAGACTGCCATGTCTGGACGCAGCACGAGGAATCCTCCTTGAACGGGTTTGTAGGGTTTCTCTGGAGCAACCAAGTGGTCTGGTTGCGTTGTACCAGAAGATTCGTGATAGACGAATGAATGAGTCAGCAAACGAAGCTCCAATCAAACAAGACTCATTGGTTCGTCTAATCGCACTTACAATCGCGAGTAAAAAAGGCATTGACCTTGTCTGGGATTGGTTTGTCTTGCCACATGATTGGAACATTAGTAGTACTATTAGTATTCGATAGATGATCGGAGGACGACGGCGATGCTTCGTCCAACATCAAGTCAAAAAGTGCGTCCATTGGTTTCAGCACAATAACGTCTAGATCCAACAGCACGACAACTTGGTGATCTATCAATGTGTATGCTTCCAACTTGATCAATTCTTTTGCTCCACAGCAACCATTTGACTCCTTCTCGTTGATTGATTGATCGAATGAGTAAATGAATGAGTGAAACAATCAACATCAGCGCAATACTCGTCCTTCCAATATCCTATATTTTGCTTACAATCTTTTTCCTCAAAAACTTTCCTTCGATCTCCTGGGTAGCAACTGGCGTCTCTCTTCGAATCAATTTGTAGCCCAAATCTTTCAGAGGCAACGCACAGGCTTCTCCCTCTGGGTGATAAATGGCATACATCTTGTAGTCATACCGAAACTTATTTGCTCCTGCTTGAATCGAATTCAAATGGATCGAATGTTTGAGGACCGCAGCTCCGTCCATGATAGCATCATGCCCACAGCCAGTAATGGTAACCACCCATCCAATGGTTGTGGTTTTGTTAGCGGAAGAATCAGATGATTGGTTTGAACCATCAGCGTGCGCATTTGTCATTGTACTCGAAGCATCATCGTCACTTAATATTGTGCTTTCCGTCATAGAAGTACCACTGACATCATCGTCTGACACCTCCTTTTTTGACTGTTGTCTAGTATTAGAATCGTTCCGAATTAGCAAATCTTGAAGTGCTAATTGCTGTTCCTCAATCGCATTTACATACAAAGCAACGGAAAAAGCAAAGCCAAGGATGACATATTGAATTGGAATCAAGGATCTAATTCGTGATGACGATCGCTTTGAATCATTCAAATCATTTATTTGTCGTTTTCGTTTTCGTTTTCGTTTGCTAATAGTCTCAGTCCTACCCAGAATTCCTTGCAATGACATTTAATTGCTTCGTCGTGTCCTTTTCATTTGCGATGTATGATAGCGGTAGACTACAGTACTGTATTCTATAGCCGGTACCAGGTACTGTAGAGGTAATCGGCAAAGTTGAAAGTGGCCGTCTTCTTTTCCCAGGGGCAGCTTTGCTTACTACTTCGTGGGTATATGCACGTGCAAACTGAGATGTACTGTACACTACAGACTTACTGCAACAGAGGGAGGTTCTGCTGAAACCCGCCTGTATGTCGTACATAGAAACTAAAAATGTACCTTTTGTCCCCACAATTTCACCGTTTAAAAAGTTACATGCGTGGGGACCCCAGTTGTCAGATAATCAACTCCGTAGCTGTAATGAGAGCCTCAACGCTCTAGCCACCTCTGGAGTATACTGAGCTCGTTTCTACGTCGGCTATGGATTGCCTACAATAGGAACAGGTGCCAGTGATGCTGGGCTTCTACCTGCGGATGAACAGTCTCACCACTTCCTATTAGATCTTATTCTACTGCTATTCTTGCCAGAAGTCGATCAACAATGATCTCCACAAGCAGGTACAAAAAATCTCTTCCGGAAGCAACCTGCGTCAGCTCTCACCAGCTGTCGCGGCGCATAAAGCACATACGCACATGTTCTTCACGAATTAGTCACAGGTCTGGATCTACCTTCAATACTTATCCATCTCGGTAAGTACTCGAACCGTACTCCCGTCCGTGTTCGATATCACGAATGTCCGACTTCACTGTCCGGCATGTTCGACTGTTCTTTTATTTGTTAAGATCCCATTTCACCAACACCAGTGACGCAATAGAATCTGCAACAACGGAATCTTGGAATTCAGGCCAACTGCTAAAAGAATTCAGCAGTTCAGCAGGGAATTCAGCCAACTGCTGGAGCGGCCTGTAACTGGACCTAGACGCGCCGAGTCAGATTTTCGGGGGTGTCGTTCGGACAAAATAAAGGGAGTAGTATAGTATTCAATTGTTTACCCAAGTTAGACTGACTGGCGCGGCTTTCTTTTCAAAACTACTCGGCGTGCGTGCCCTTTTGATCTGCTTCCGAACCGTTGAACCTTGGTCCAAATGGACAAAAATAGTCGAACCTTCGTCGAGTCCGACTATTCTCGTCGGAGTCCGACTATTCTCGTCGGAGTCCGACTTTTCTCGTCGAAGTCCGACTATTCTTTGTCGAAATGGACGAAAGGATGAAATGGACGAAACTGATTTCAGAGCTCGCAAGAATCTTGCATGACGAAAAATTCAAATTTGAATTATCGGGCTGGTAGTGGCAAACTAGGATGACATGCAAAAACGGCAAAAAACGGTACACTAGAAAACAAGAAACGGTAACTAAATAAAAATAGCAGGTTCTATCTCTCCACAGCAATATGCCGAAGTTGCCAGAGATGTTTACAGACATGTTGCATACTTTCAGAAATTCAAACGTCAACAACGAATTATACTAACTTAGATGAGTGATAGATCTAGAATTCATCCGATCAAGAGGTTTGAAAAATAATCTGGGAGATGAGTCAAAATCGCAAATCCCTGGAATTTTGATTCCCCCTTCAGGGTCCCGAAAATTTCGAACGAGTCTTCGCTGTTTATCGCCCGCTCAGCAATTGGTTCGTTGAAAAAATTAGGAAAAATAGAACAATGGTTTTGATTATTCGTAGGAATTATACATACATGAATCTTTTATTTAATTTTTTTTCTTTCGATTTTGCAACACTAGTCCAAAAAAATATACATTTTGCGACACCACCAAATCTCTCTACACGAGTTCCTACGACATAATAGTACCACAAATAGTTTTGTTAAATGAACTACTTAAGGAAATTTTCACTGGTGTTTCAAAATAAATCTGGTACAATAGCCCTGTGGCGTCTCTCGTAGGAAAATGTTCTGAAGTATCAAAAAATACCAGTACATTTTTTCTGTATGATGGCTACACAGATATTTTTCACTGATGTGTCAAAATGCGAATGGATCAGTTCGACTGATTCAAAACATTCGTTAAGATAGTAATTACCGCGTATATTTTTCATGTTCCATTGTTTTCTCCCGACATACTTATTATGGGGTCACTCGAGGGGAGTTTTCGATTTTGACTCATCTCCCTGCCCTATTCCTATTGCGACCATGTTTCGTCAGGTCCGACGAAGTTTTTTCGGGTCCGACGAAGTTTTTTCGGGTCCGACGAAGTTTCGTCGGGTTCGACGAAGTTTTGTCGGGTCCGACGAAGTGTCCGACGAAGTTCATCCATTTCAACGGAATGACCACGAATGAAATGAATCTTTAGACAGGCTCGTTTTCAGCGAAGCCCAAGCTCTGCATTGCGCAGAATCTGTCACCGGCACGTCAGTTACCGTCATCCTTGCCAGGGAATCTATGACATATCTGAGGACATTCCCAGCAAGTCTGCCATTTCAGGCCGCTCCTGACAACTGCTGAATTTTTTCAGCAGTTGGCTGAATTTTTTCAGCAGTTCGAAAAAAATGCAAGATTCCCTTTTCCTTCTGTGTGTGGATTGCCAATCCCAAACCTTCAACACCATCGTAGACAAGCAACATAAAACCTGATTGCTTGAACTCATACATTGCACTCGTTTCCTTTTAAAGGACTGAAATTACTGTATGATTTATAGTTGTCGAATAGATATCGTCTTCTAGGACCTACATGTTGTATTCCATATAAAGGAATCTGATGAAACGGAATCTCTGAATTCAGACCAACTGCTGACAACTACTGAATTTTTTCAGCAGTTGGCTGAATTTTTTCAGCAGTTGACTGAATTCGAAAGATTCTATAGCGGCGTGCTTGAAAGATGCTATGCTGGCGGATATACCGTTAAGTCAAGTCAAGGATTGTAACGTACGACGTACGAGCGGGTTTCAGCAGAACCTCCCCGTGTTGCTGAAGGATATATCATTACCGCGCATTTCCGCACGAAACGTTTATCAAAATCATACCTGGAAATCATCTATCATACCATACGATTACTAGTGAAATGTTAGTACCCACTGTCAGATAATCAACTCCGTAGCTGTAATGAGAGCCTCAACGCTCTAGCCACCTCTGGAGTATACTGAGCTCGAATCTACGTCGGCTATGGATTGCCTACAATAGGAACAGGTGCCAGTGATGCT